TATTTGGTTCTGTGCCTGTGCAGAATGTGGGCATTATTGCAGCATATAATGTGGAAAGGAAGCACTTCTTGTTAAAACAATTCTAGATTCAGAAAACATTACAAAAGCCTAACCAGGAATGTATTTATAGTCATATTTTACTCCCTTTTTTTTTCTCTGTTAAAATAGGCACAGGCATAAAATAATGTATTTGGTTTTCTCCATTAATTCAAATAAAATCTTTTTTTTTTCTCAAAATGATCTTTCAGACTTTTATTATCATTATTTGTATTACAATAGCAGCCAGAAGCCTCCAAATTAGTGCCCAATGCATAGGGTCCTGTTGTACAAACAGATGTTAAAAAAACAGCCCCAGCTCCAAACTGATGACAAAAGATATCATGAGGATAAAGAAGTCCCTTTGGGATCCATGTCTAAGCAGCCAGGCAGAGACCCAGGGAACACGCAGCATGCTGATGGCTGCAATATTGTTTCTTCACTTTTGGGTAGAAACTGGAGGAAGAAAAATAATTTGATCTGTTGGCGCATCACGTTTCCCATACAAGACTCATTTCTTCATGCTTGCTTTTGATCCTAGTTTCAATCCTTTCTCAGTAGGAACCTGAAATTCAATGACTGAAAAATGTGTCCTCATTGAGGACACGTAGTAAAATTCCCATTCTCTCCCCTCAAATCAGGACTTTGAGTCTGCTTTCTGTTGGCAGATATACAAACCAAGAGAAGAAAGAAACTGCAGAGGGAGAAGGAGGAGAAGATGGACTTGCAGACAGGTGGTTTACCCAGAGATGAGCAGAAGAATTCAGTCCCTCCTGCCTTATAAGCAGGGCTGGTTGAACGCTTTCCAGCAGGACTGATGTCCTGGAGAATGCTTTCCAGGAAAACAGAACTGAAAAAATAAAGATGAAATGTGAAAACATCTGCACCACCTTGCCTGAAGGTGATGGTGGTTCTGCTTCCTTGTCCCTTTTGCACCAGTGCCTAGGGGATACAGAATTATTCCAGAAGAGGTTAGAAAGAGGCTGTGAAGGATCCATCGGGAAAGAAAAAAGAATACCACAGATAAGAGAGCCTCAGTTACACACCTTCAGAGAGGCAGAAGTAGCTTGGGCCATCACTGAATGAGACAACCTACCTGCCTGGCTGAGTCTAGGCTAGGGTAGTCTAGTTTTCTTAAGGTCACACGGAGGTGGAAGTGAGACTGGTTGCCCATGCGCCCTTTTTGCCAGCCACCCAAGAGAGTCTTACACATTTGCGTTGAGCTTTACATCTCAGATACATAAACAACACAGAATTACTCTCCTGAGAGGTGAAGGCAGCTAAGCCCATCCTTTTGTTTTATGCATGAAAAGCTCATCATGACACAGTGGTCACCTTGTCAGCTTTATAAGTGCTTTCCCCTGCAGAGCAGTACTATTGCAAACAGAGCAGCTACGCAGTGAGCCCCTCAGCTTTAAAACCTTCCTGGGAAAGAGCCCTCTTTACCAGAGACCTTTTCCATTGGAGAAGCCAAAACTACGCCAGGTAAGAGATCCCTTTGCTGTCTGGCACAGCACCTGCCCTCCTGAAGGCTCAGGCTGCAGATAGGTTCCTGCAGTGCTCACATGTGCAGGAGAATGTCAGAAAATCACCCCTTGTCAGGAAATCATTAAAAATGGTATCTTTTTCTCTTGGGAGTTCCTTGAGACTCTGTTCCTGTCACCTTTCTCTTAACAGTGGCTGCTGGAAGAGGCTGCAGGATATTGGACCTGAACCAAAGCCAATTGAGTAGCCGAGACTCCCTGCTAAATACAACCATGATTATTCTTTAATGCCAAATCTTTGGTTCCATTGCTCATCAGCTCTCAGTGTGACAGTGGCTACACTCTGACTTAGGCCAAGTTATGGAAACAGCTTCATGCTACCTAAGGAAATCTCTGCTTACTAATGAAAATATCAGAGGGAATGACAAAATTTGGGCAGATGAAGGAACGTGTGGGCAACCCTGACCAAATTCTCCATCTTTGGGTAACCCCTCCATCTATTGTCATTCAGGAAATATCCGCAGCTGGTTGTCACAGACCTTTCCTCCAACCACTAGCAGCTCTGTGTCTTAAGCTATAGTGATGCTATTCCTGCAGCAGCATACCAGGCACATGTCACTCATCCCCAGGGGTTTGAACTCCTCTGGCGAGGTGCAAAAAGGCAGAGGTGAATCAGGGTCACTATAAATGCTCTTTGCTTGAGATTAATCTGATACGCTTTTAAGGCGTATCAGCTGTATTTTGCCTGTTATCATCTGCTCGTGGCAGCATTACACACACCTACTTATACCCACAAGTTAATGAGGGGCAGACTAGGATCTTGGCTCTGGCACTGGTTTGAGACTGAAGCATCTGCTTCCTTGGCGAAAGATGGGAAGGGCTGATGCCAACTGCCACAGGGAGGAAAAGGTCAGCAGCAGCACTATGGCTTCCTTCCACCACCAGAGGTATCGAGGAGGCCTAAAACCCAGCAAAATGGGTGCAGCTTAGTTGCAAAAAATAAGTACCCCCGAGGCAGAGCTCAGCGGTCCCCTTCAGTCCAGTCCTCCGCTGTGTTGTCCCCTCTCCGGGAGCATCCCGCACGCCCGGCCAGCAACGTTCTCCTCCTCAGAGTTCCCAGCCCAAAGGATCTCAACTCTCTTTCACTGCTTGCTGGGGAGAGGTGCCAGGGAATGGGGGGCAGGCAGGGAGCCCATGGCTTCGTGTGGGAGAGGAGAAAGCCCTGCTTCTGCAATGGGGGCAGCACACCCAGCTTCACATGTGCACCTGTCCCCGGCAGTAACCTCCTCAGCAAGAGCACCACCACCACCAGCATGTGTGCCACAAGGGTCTTTTCCAGCTGTAAAATTTCCCAGGAGACACCAGGGCAGCAACAGTCTCCCAGTCTGTCGTGACACCTGGGACTTTGGCAGCGTGGCAGCAGCCCCACACCCCGTTGGGAGCTGTCTGTCAGTGCCCTGGCCGGCAGCGAGGACACCATCTCCCCTCAGTTCAACACCTTCTCTGAGAAGTGTCCCAGCTTCCCCTCCTCCTGCACGGGCTGCCCACTGCCCGACGTGCCCCGTTCCTGAGCCAGGGCTACACCAGGCCACTGTGGTCCCCCGCTGCCCGGGGCCAGGCAGGTGCCCTGCAGCTCCGCACACTTCTCCTTGTAGTGCTGGGCATTGCCGGCAAAAGTCTCACAGCGGCTGAGGTTCTCCTCCTGCACGGGGCTGCCAACGTTCTCCTCGCTCGGCCCCGAGGCCGTTGCCCCCTCCTGAGAGTTTTGGCTAAGGTAGACAACAATGATGTCGCCCTTGAAATTCATTACTTGTCCACTTGAGATAAAGGTGGAGTTACTGTTTCCAGTCACATTTCCTGTGGAAGGAGCAGGGAGAAAAGAAGACACACATGATTAATATTTTCCCCTCACAAGGTGGACGCTTAGTGCAGTGAACTTAATCTGCTGTGGTGGCTTTACTCTTGTTCCATTATTTTTTCCCCCGTGACACAAGGATGCTCTTATAATCAATGCCTTCCACTGGACCTTCTCATTATTTCCATTTTTGTCTCCTCAGGACAAAGTCTGTCATACACAGGGAGCCTGTCTGGAAGGCTTGGAAACATTTCCTCTCTGAGCAGTGATCTGGGAAGCAAGAGAGAGCACGACGATTTCATGCTCCCCATCCTGCGCGATGCACAAGCTCTGTCCAGCCTGCCTCTGCCTGTGGTTTGTGAGAAAATGGTAATAATTTCTAATTATGAGATTTATTTTTTTAGAGTCCCAGAAATCAGACTGTTTACCAAAGGGGAGAAAACCCCAACCCAATCAATCCTACCATGTAGGCTAGGTAGCAGGCTTATTGAATAAGTACTGAAAGACTTAACATCAGACCACACAGTCACACAGTGCCCAAATGACATGGAGCTTATATGATTATCTTATATTGTCCCGATCCTCTATGTAGGTACACTCCGGTGTGTAGTGCCCCCATGGATTTACCCGGATATATGCTGACTCCAGAGGCAGAGAAGAGGAAGGGGAAGAGACAGTCTGTATTAGAGCAACCTAACAAAGTTATGGTTTCAGTCAGTTTCCCTGCGGTTAGAGATTTTTCAGTATAAATTCAATCTTTCTGCTATTCAAGGACTGGGTCGCTGACTCAACTGACAGCAGGACCAGACTCTGGGAATTAATACACTTCCCTCAGAGCAGAAAGAAAATAACTGAGAGCAAATTTTCAACATCAAACTAACAAACTTGTTAAAGTTTGAAAATTACGCAAACTGAAAAAAACAAGTAAACAGAATCTTCCCAGTCTGTGAACACTCTTCCCAAGAAATGTTCTTCCTGCTGTGCTTCACACTTAATCATTACTTGCTGACTGATATGACACCTTTGAGGCATTTTGTGCCTTTTCTCATTAAATTTCTCAACACTTGGACATTCTCATTTTCAGTGCAGCTAAGCATGACCCAGCCCAGAGAAATGCTGTTTTCCTAGCGGCCACAGCTCCAGCTGTGCAGTTAGGACATGTGCCTGCTCCTAACCGAGTCTGGGTAGCACTCGAGAGTGTCTCTTAATAGGCCCCCCTCAAGCAACCTTATTTATTTCAGCTAAACCACTACTTTCTGCTTTCTCTCTAAGTGTTGTTGATTAACATGAGAAGTCCATAAGAGCTTTCTCTGTGGGAGTTTTTCCTTGCTGGTTGTTTCCCCTGTGCTCAATTCAGTTTGGCTGTTTGCCATCAACAAAACTGTTGGGCATAATGGCAATACAAAAATAACTCTTTGTCTTTAAACAGATTGCCTGTCACTTGCAAAAGGTGCTGCAAAGAAGTTTACCAGTGCTCAGGATGAGGTGAAATATTCAGAAATATATGTGGCAGTGGGGAGAGAAACAAAAAAAACCGGCAGATTAACATATTTATATTATTTAGTTGAATGTGGCTGGTAAATCTGCAGTGCTTTCTGAAGACACCATGCTGAAACAAAAGGATATTTGAGGCCCAGAAGCACAGAAAATGGACAGAAGAGCTTCCTGGACTGCACTAAGAGAAGTGCTCCCAACCTGAAAATGCAAGGGACAGCTTCAGAATGAAGGCATCATTCTCTGCAGTGTTTCAGCCTTTTGGTCTCTTCAGACTACCTGATGACATTAACTATAATGAGAGATAAATTCTTGTGGTAATTGTTCACTAAGAACTAGGACAACGCAGGCGAATAATTTTCTCTGTGACATTTAATGGCCTCTAGGTGGTAAGAACTGTTTGTTGCTGCCAAACCAGGCTGGTTTGGGATCTGGAAGTGAAAGGCTCTGCAAAACCATTCCCAATCGTGAGTCACCTAAGTCTTCCTGCACTCATGCTTTATGCTGTAGCCCTACACATGACCTGAGGTGGTCATGAAGCAGCACTTCATGTTCTGGTTGCCTCCAGGCTCGTGGGGTTTGAAAGAGCACTTGAAGGCTTACCTGCATCTCTGGTGGTGATTCCTGTAAGTGGCACCTGTCCAGAGATTCACTTTAGTCCTCTAGGGTTGTTTCACAGGAGGGACCATTTCTGTTTTTGAGTGTTAGGGAACTAACACCAAAACTTCATGGAATGTCCCATGGCCTTTCTCTTCCCATTTTTCATCCACTTCTTTTGTACTGTCCTGTCTTAGCATGAATGTGTGCAAAGCCTGGTGGCTTTGGTTGCCTTGAGAAGCTTTACAGAAAGCTATTTTACATGCCCATTTATTCCATCTGGGCTGATGCAGCTCCATGTTGAGTGTTAGGGAACTAACACCAAAACTTCATGGAATGTCCCATGGCCTTTCTCTTCCCATTTTTCATCCACTTCTTTTGTACTGTCCTGTCTTAGCATGAATGTGTGCAAAGCCTGGTGGCTTTGGTTGCCTTGAGAAGCTTTACAGAAAGCTATTTTACATGCCCATTTATTCCATCTGGGCTGATGCAGCTCCATGTGCAGCCCCAGAGAGGCAGGGTGTGCTTCAGTGTGGAACTTATGGCTAAGCCCTATTCCCAGACTTCCTGCAAGCAAGCACTGCCAGCAGGGCACAGCCATTCTGTGCACAGAAAAATTACTCTGCCAGCAAGCCACATTACCTACAGATTAACTAACCCACACTCTGACACTGCCCTCAGCTCGCTCACTACTTTCCTGCCAGTTGTGCCTAAAAAATGGCAAGTTAGGAACACAGTCTCTGCGCTCGAGTTTCACCAGATGGCACTATAGCATGTACATATCCGAAGGCACAGACACAATTAAAATCCCATATAAAGAATTATGCTGCAGATCTAAGATGGCACTTTCTAGCATGTTGCTTAAATCCAAGCTTTCCTGTTTGCTCTGTTGTTCCTTAATGTTTTCTCTTTCTCTCAGATTTAGAAAGAAAAGCAATACCAAATACAACTTGACTTTCAGTTTTGCTTCAGAGTCACTTTCCAACAGTAACAAAAAAGATAGTCTGTGTTCTCTTTACTCCTCCTGCATTTTGTACAGACCAGGCAGTGAAACGGTCAGGATTTCAGGAAACTGAAGCAGCAGAAAGAGTTTCTGCTCTTAGGAAGATGAATGCTACAGACTTTCAGATTCCCATATGGCATGCATGTTGAGAGAGGAAGGGCCTTCAAGTGTGTTGTTTTGGGGCTTTGGCAGACTGACAAGAATGTCACCGTAAGAAACTTTAAGGCACGACATGGTTTTAAAGAAGGGCAACAGCTTACAACTGCTGTGTGTATTACAGTAATACTTGGATGTCCCAGGCAAAACTAAGGTCTCATTACGCTTGGCAGTGCATCGATATAAATAAAAATAGATCATCTGACTTGAAGAGATTATAATCTAAAATGACTAATAACACATGACACCAGATTGCAGACTTTTATACTGAAAAAAGGTCTGAGGGAGGAAGGTTTCATCCAGAGAAGGCTCATAACTTCCCTTCTGCTGGTTTTGCTTCAGCGATTTTTTTTCTTCCCCACTTTCATTTGACAATTTTGATAAATTTACCCAATTAGTTAATTGGCAGAGAATCAGCAAATTGGCCTCATGGTTTCAGAGTTGTTCAGGGGACAGAGCATGTGTGTATGGAGAAACGGTGTCTGTATGAAATTTTAATCTGAATGCTTATATCCTAGCAAATTAAAATGAAGATAAAGAGCTAAAAGCAGAAAACTGTACATAATCTCTTTGACCCAGTCATGGCCACCAGGTTACAGCTCCAGCTGGAGTTTCACTGACCCCTGTATAAATGTAACCAGACTTAAACCTAATGGCAAAAATGTGCGTGCAGACTGCTGAATGGAAAATATCTATCTGAGCATTATGCATCCTTCCTTGACTCAGCCTCTATGTCCCTATATTGTCTTCCTTCAAAGTGTTCCCCAATACACACACACCTGGTTACAGAACTGCCTGACCTCTGCAGTGCCAGTTCTGCATTGCTGGTTAGATCAGGGCAGGACAGTGGTCCCTCACTGGGCTCATACTACTTGCAGAATTCACTACTAACTAAACGGCCTTACTATTTCAGATTTGTTTTTCAGATTAGCTTCAGAGCAATTAAGTGAAAAAGCATCATTTTATTACTCTCCTAAATCAGATCCTATGAATACTATTGAGCTAGCACAGAAAATAATCCTATACAACTGCATACAGTTCTAGTCTAATGGGCTTACCAGATGCTGGAGGGAGGTCTGAAGTGCTGCTGTTGGTCCCTGAAGTGCTTCTGTGTGTCCCTGAAGTGCTTCTGTTTGTGTTCTGGTACTTCATGTTGGTACTATCTGAAGATGCATCTTCCATACTATGATCACTCGTTAGAGTGCTCTGACCAGCAGAGAGGAAATTCAAACCACAGGTGCACTGGGCACAGGAGCCAGTTTCTGGGGAGGTGGAAGCACTGTCAGCTGCAGCACAACAGGGTTTGCTCCACTTTTGGGGAGATTCCCTGTATGAAATGCCACACCTCACACAGATCTTCTCTGAGTCACAGTTTGTTGCAAAACGATCTGTGTCTTTGCTGCCTGTTTCCTTCAGGCAACTGTGGGCATGTTGGCAAGATTTCTGAAGAAGTTGGTCCGTGGCAACGTGTGCCCCATCTGTGTTGGAGGGAGGGTGAAGGCCTTGAGACACTGATATGTCTTCTGTGCTCCCAATCCCTGAAAAGTACTGATTCAAGCTGTCATTCTCCCCTGCCTCCAATGGTTCTGAAAATGATGACACAGTTTTACTGGCAGTCTGACTTAGGAAAGATAAATAATTAGGGTTATTGAGATCCTTATCCATGTATTCATCTTCCATGGGAACAGGTGGGAAACGGAAATCATCAGTCTCAGTTCCCACAGTAAAATCTCCTGCCTCACACGGCTCTGTGCTGGGGCTCCTGTTCCTGTGATCACTGGTGCAGCATGAGTTGCCAGGGACAGGAGAGCCAGTGGGGCCCAGAAGACATGTGCCTTCAGAGGTCTGGGGGACAACAGCATTCGTAATGTTCACAGTAACAAACGCATCTCTGGGAGGCTCCTGAAAGAAATTCAAAGTAAAAACATCTTTAATAAAGAGATCAGCAGAAAGTTATTTTCTTGATAAAGAAGGAAATGGCAGATCATGGTTATTCCTCTGTGTGGAGCTGCTGAGATTGCGTAGCACTGCGCTGTTTGAGGCCTGAAGTGTAATTCTATTCTGCTGTGAAACTGTGACTGATGGTGCTGGGCTCAACGGGTGTTCAGAAAAAAATCTGGTGGCCTGGGGGGCAAAAACGTTTAATTTTGTGAGATGACTATTCCTAGTTCTTACAAGGGCACTTAAGAAGAGCTAATAAATCTAGAAGAGTTGTTGGATTCTGCTGTTCCTTATAGGCCATCAGTAAGACCCACCTAACTGCTTATAAGGTTTTGGAAACCCTCCATGTGTCTGAAGCATTGTAAAGGCCTTACTGGGGGCTGAATCTTTAGTATTAGCAATGACTGAAGAAAACCTGGGTTGATTAAGAAGGCCTGAGACAATTTAGAAAAAGAGAAGTCATGCAAGCAAGGTTGCTTTCACCTGGAAAGTTAGGACAACAAATGCAAAGGCCCATGAACATGTTGTCACAGTACTTGCCAAAGAAAAACTGTATTTTGGTTGCAGCTCAAAAAAAAAAAAAATGGGCTTGGGAAATACTTCAAGGGTTTCCTTCAGTTCATGCAAGTTGTGTTCTAAAGATGGATATTTGGGAACTGATACCTTTAATTTCTAGCGTCTGTTCAGATCTTCCAGCATAGAAGAGGGAGAGAGTGTAAATGCTGCCAGCCACTAATTGCTGTTGATTCACTCCTCTGTCCCGGAGGATCTGAGTGGCTGCCAAGGCAGGAGGTTGCATGAACACTTATGACACAAAAGAGGAACTGCCTGCTCAAAAAAGTAGGTTTGTTTGGTATGGGTTTGGTTCTTTTAGCACTGGAATATGAGTCTTTTAACAGCTAAGCTAGACAGAGCTCCTAGAAGGGTTGGTGGGGACAGCATGCACCTGGGACACCTCAATCCATGTCCATGGTGTGAAGCAGGCCATGCAAACAACCTGAACCAGTGCAACAATCTGAGTGTTTCAAGGATGGGATCTGATGAGCTTCCAGATCAAAAGCCCTTCCTTTTTTCCACGTCTGAATGAACAAGCAGCATTTCTTCAAGCAGTTTCTTTAGCTGATGGCTCTGTGCTTAATGCCTTGCATTCTTGGCATTGCCCCAAATCCAGGTTTCTTCCCCATGAACACTATAGTATGTAACCAGGGGCAAACTCAGCTAAAGCTTTTCCTGCCCTTAGGATTTAGAAAGGCTCTCTCCTGGGCAGTGTCAGGTGTTCAGCAACTGGTGGGCTCATGTTTAACTTTCTCCTCATAAATATTTAATAATCACAGAGACCTCTATCTCTGTTAAAACTGGCTGAAACCAGAGAACAGGTTCAGAAGCTATTTGTGAACAGTGATTTCATATGCCTCACATTTACAGAAAAACCAAACTAACAAAGCCAAAGCTCTGAGCACTTTTTGAGGAACTCAATACTTGTCTTCTAGCCAAACATTACCATGGAATCTGTGTCAGAAGGAGTGTCAGGAATATCATGAAGAAAACATTGCACAAAGAGAAAATGCTAGTATCTTTGACTACCTTTGTTCCTTTGATTTGGCTGCACACTTCGTTAGCCCAGTTCTGTAGATCTGCTGTAG